GATCGTGTCCATCTCGAAGCGTAAAATGCCTGTAATGGGTGTAGCCCTAAATCTTGACGATCCTAACGTTAGAAGCCTTATTATATGTGTCCTTAAATACTGCACGGTTCTTTGGCTTAAGACTTATATCTGGCCAAGGACTGTCACTGCAGCAACACTCCAAAAAAATTATTTGGGGAATATGTAGATATGCTGCTACAACAACAACACCGAGTCCAATAATAAAGAATATTACAGCAATTGGAGGGTCGGCGGCTGCTTGTACAACAACAACATTAATAGGATACTTTTATTTGTCTCATACACGTCTGGTGCGGTTGTGTGTGTTATGTGGTCTGTGGTGGCTGTGGTATGTTGTTGTGTTGTGGCGACTGTGTGTGGTTGCTGTGTGAGTGTGTGGGGCTGCACGGGCGGACTATGGGTTGCCGTGGAGGCTGCTCTATTTGAGCAACAGGGGGCCACGTACGACGTGGTCCACTGTCTGTGTGTCCGTAGTCCCGAGCAGACCCTGAGGTGACTCCACCCCTCGCAGGCATTACACTTGACTGAGGTGGAGTTGTGGTGTAAACGTCTTCGGCATACACAGCAGGTGTATATTTCTGGCCCAGGGTTTGACTCGATGCCAGCCCTGAGTAGGAGAATGCGTAGTGAATGTTGCCCTATGGACGGACAACTTCTGAGACACTTCGCCGACCTAAACGGGGTTAGATCGCCGAAACAACAGCCCTTGGTCGGGTGAAACCCGAGTCATTCCGGTACGTAGAACCGGCTGTCGTGGGAATGTAACGCCGTAGATCTCTTGCCTTTGTTGAAAAATACTGTATTTATGTATTTGTTTACCAAAAAAGTGTTAGGTAGAATTTATGTATATGCAGTCAGGAGACTAAGAAAATTACAGTTTGAAATTTGGTGGAAGATTTACTTATATCTGAGAATAATCTAGGGGAATGTTGAGCCAAAAATGCTACGTACGGCCTTTCGTTACAATATTTAAATACCATACAGACTTTGAAACCCCTCTGCCCATCATCTAACGCAGATTTAATGCAAATTTTAGGCTATTAGCATGCTTAATAAAGCTCACATTGATAATGATTTCGTAACATATTAAACATTTCCAATGTCAAAATTATTTATTTATGCAGATGCGGCATGGAAAACTACGTTGAAAAGCTACATGTGTACATATGTACATATGTATGTATGCAAATGCTAGTACAAATCTGCTAATAAATTCACCCACCCACACACATTTCGTAAATTTTCTTAGACTCGGCGCTACCATATGTAGATCTGCATATTTTAAGAATAAACATACGTATGTGCATACATTATGTAAATATGTATTAGGATGCTTCTTAAAATGTCAACATCAAAGTTTGTTTAAAACAAAAAAATGTTAAAAATTTTGGAAAATGTTAGAATTCGATGAAAATTTTACATACTTGTCATTGCAAAAATTTTAAAAATTCTTTTTGAGCCCTGGAAGTCCATATTAACTCTGCCCTATACATGCACTTCTTCGTAGTTTTCAAGACAATTATTTGTAATCCAGTGTTATTTAGATCTTAAGAAAAATTTGCCAAATGCTTAAACGAATGACAGTCTTTGAAGATTGATATTGCATGATGAAGAATAAGTGAGAGAGTTGATATGGAGTTCCTGTGCTCAAAGCGCATTTTTTTGATTTTTTCTATGGTAACAAATTATGTCAGAATTGTCAAATTTTAACATTTGTAGCGACCCTAAAAACTATTTTGAATTATGAAATGTTCGTAGATGTCTTTATGTTGAACGTAAAAATAAATGAAGGGGTATCTCATACAAAATTTAGATTTTGACATTTTAAGAAGCACCCTAATATGTATGTATGCAATTTATGCAAAAACGCAAATAAATACAGTCTGGAGCTAACTTATATTTTTGTATGAAGATCGATGCAATCTGATTTTCAGACAAATCGTTTCATTTGGGTTTAAATGTCGCCAGATTAACGAGTAAAATTTCAACTATGGAGAAAATGTAGTTTCTTTCCTTGATTAAACTCCTCAATAAGGAAGGAAAAACATCACAGATCAATATGTAAGTAAAATTGATTTATAAGTACATATTTTGGTCTGTCTAAGAGAGGTGTAGAAGTAACTGAAGACGATCACCGCTCGCCGACAAAATAGTTCAAAAAGACAAAAAACCGATTTTGTAAGTTTGAAAATAAAAACAAAAGATATTGCAGAAATATTTAACGCATCTTCTGCGAACTTTTTGAACATTCTTCATGCTCATCATGTTATGTCTAAGACCAATGCAATGTATGTGCCACCGTAGCCGGGTAGTGGGAAGTGCATATAAATATCTACTTGGTAAGACTCAGATGTGGTGTCTGGTCAAGTTTATATACATATGTAATATATATATATATAGTAGCTTAGAAATGTTCGATGGTATCAGGTAATTGGAAGTGACACTAATTCTAGACAGCATTGGCAGAAATGTGAAGTGCTTAAACATTTCCTATAAAAAAATGTTCGTAAATTCATTGGAAGGGTTGTTCTACCCTACACGTATTTTGAGTCCTCGCATATTTAAGATNAAAAAAAATATATATATATATTAATTCATGCCAAAGAAATCTGCAAATAAAGCGTTAATGATATATGTATTATTTTTGTGGGTAGTGCCAATATAAGAAATATATACATGACTTGAGAGAAATTCAATGAGAAATTCTTACAACAGTATCTTACAACAGTACAGTAATGCCTAGCTAGTTCAGGCACCAGGGGCCGACCTTATCTTATAGATTTTTTTTTGCTGATTTGAAGTGCATTTACAAAATTTTTCTAGGACGTCCACTTTTTGAGAAAAAAACTATTGAAGTGTGAAAAATGCTAGTATGAAAAATTTAAAAGTTGAATTTAGACGTAGTTTCTCCGAAGAAAAAAAAACATTTATTCCAATTCGTCTGATGGATTCTGCCTCATACCGATGGATTGAGTAGAAAGGGGTGAAAAATCGGGTAATCGCTTACAGAGCTGCGCGTACGTTTTATAGGAATATTTAATTGCTATGGTTGTGGTTATTGCTATGGTATGGCACTACTAATTTAAACTTAAGAATCCTCAGAATCGAAAAATTTATAAGATGAGGTTGGCCCCGTTTTTGAGATAAAATTCAACTAAATTTTGCCATACTATAACACCAGAGCCATAACCATAACCGTAGGTATCTATTTAATTTTAGTTTTTTCGCCAAAATCAAAAGCTGCTCTAAAGTATTTTGCTACGTTATGGCTAAGGCGTTATGGTTATGGCACCTCTAATTTGGCCTTTACTTAAGTTTTAAATTTTTCATTGTGTATCCTAAATTTCAGATTTTTTTATAAAATTGATCAAGATTTTTATGAAGTCAGTTTGATAATATGTACATATGTTGTTTATTCGAAAAAGCAAAGTAATTCAAACACTCTAAACTTCGTGATACCAGTTAAGAGGGGACTACAGGATTTTAATTTCTTGTTTAAAATAATTTTTTACACTTTTCCCCAAGTAACTAAATAATTTATTTGTAAGCCTGGTGGGAGTTGCAGACGTGTATGAGACAAATAAAAGTATCCTATTAATGTTGTTGTTGTACAAGCAGCCGCCGACCCTCCAATTGCTGTAATATTCTTTATTATTGGACTCGGTGTTGTTGTTGTAGCAGCATATCTACATATTCCCCAAATAATTTTTTTGGAGTGTTGCTGCAGTGACAGTCCTTGGCCAGATATAAGTCTTAAGCCAAAGAACCGTGCAGTATTTAAGGACACATATAATAAGGCTTCTAACGTTAGGATCGTCAAGATTTAGGGCTACACCCATTACAGGCATTTTACGCTTCGAGATGGACACGATCCGATATAAGTTGAGCAAGAGTTCACCCCGTTTGCGGAGGATTAAGCCGCAGAAATCTGGAAATACGTAGTATTGAAGTAACTATAAGACCGAGGAGGTAGTCAGTAAGTCTCCCAGGATGCAGGGTAGGGACCGCTATCATTGGATACCCCCGTTTAATCCTACCCGGTTTGACTGTGTGGAAAGCTTTCGAAAGGTTAACTGCGACAAACAAGGTCGACATTGATGCATACTTACATAGGGCTGAAAGGACTATCAGGATTTTTTGAATATCCGGATAATACGGAATTAGAATATCTGATTAAAAAATCCGCATATAAATTAAAAGGACATTAATCGGATATCCGAATTTTTGAATCTAAAAATAACAATAAAATAATAATTGTATGTGTGTTAATGAAGTGTTCTGTTATTTATTTATACTCAGTAATTTTGAGAGCAATTTTAAAAATCAGTCTTTATATTAACTGTATATCAGGATTTTATCCATATACAAGAATATTCGAATATACGGAAAGTCCAAGACATTGCCTTATCTTTGTGGTAAAAGCGTTAAGAGCGGATGTTGCAAAAACTGTCTTGGTCTACCAACAGCAGATGGTTATTCAGTCCTGAACTTCAATTATCTTTAGCACTAGAAATAGGAGGCAGATGGGCTTTTACTATTCTCTGGTTTTAGAAGAGGTATAATCCAACATGTTTTCTACATTTTCGGAATGAACCAGGTAGACAGCGAAATGTTAAACTCGGCAATGAGGTTCTCGATTCCGAGTGCTCAGCATTTTTTAATTTCTGCATCTCGATGTCCGATGTCTAACGCCGTAGATGTTGTTGTTGTTGTAGCGGCTACAACAACCCCGCCCAGATCGGTTGGTATCTCAGTCGTCGCCGTCAAGTTCCACTAACGGCAACCCTAGGAAGCGTGCAGCTTCTGCGGGGTTTGCCCATAAGGACAAGGTCGTTAGGGATGTCGGGTTTGCCGGGCATGCGAAGAGATGTTTCGAGTCATGTGGGGTCTCTCCGCATGCCGGACATTCATTAGGCACATCCTCATTCAGCCTACTCAGGTAGGAGTTTAACCTGCTGCAGTAGCCGGAGCGAAGTTGTGCAAGTGTGGTGCGCGTCTCCCGAGGCAGATGAAGCTCCGTCTCGTCAATGTCCGGGGGTGGTGTGCCTAGAACGGCATTCACAGGTCTAGAGTCTACATAACTCGAGACTGAGTCCCTGTGAATGCCGTTCAAGGCCTGTCTGTAGGCTGTCGGGTCCAGAGGTTGCTTAATGAACCTCTGGACTTCGTCCGTNAGTTCATATAGATGCCTCCTGACGTGCCTAGGCGAGGGCTCCTCTGCAAGCAGCTGTCTGCACGGGTGGCCACTTCTGTGGGTCCCGATCAGGAACTGCTTGCAGAGCATTATATTGTGCTCCTTTACCGGGAGCATTTGCGCCTCGCCGTGCAGGTGGTGTTCAGG